ATCGAACTCATACCCTTTATTGAGCATTACAGTACATGAATTCTCAATTAGGTGCTTCGACAATAATTTATAGACTTTATAAGTTACATTAAAATCGTTTCTAAAAAATCCGGCTCGACGGACTAGAGACTTTCTAAATAAAAAGAAAGCAAGAGCTAAGCATGTTCATATTGAATAATTAAATATTCACGTGATGCCGCCAAAGTTAGGCGAAGTTTCGGACGCTAGGAAAACAACTATTTATTTGCATAAACTAATTTGCAGAACCTCGGACAAACCTATGTTGTGATTGTGTAGAGGGAGCTTGATAATTTTGCTGTTTGCTGTGGAGTAAATTTGATTTATGAATAATTTAACTTTTGAAATTAATCTTGTTTAAAAAGCCAGTGTAGCAAAATATTTAATTAAAAATTCAAAAATCGATTATGAGAGTTGAAGGTTACTTACTTCATTATTAGGATATGCAGGAATAATGGGACCATCGTTGGATTCCCATTTGTTTGCTATCCTTATCGTTTCAGCGGTTTTTTCTTGCACTGACTTATTTTCATCCAGTAGCGTGAGTTCATAAAATTCTTGAATGTCTGAAATAAAAGAGAATAGTTTAACATTGTGTTTAGAATCTATATGAAAAAAATCTTATTTTATTATTAAGAGCAAGCATGGGATGAGTGTAGAATTCAATGTTCTTTTATTAGACAATATAAACCATACGAAGTGTCAATCTGATTTTAGTACACCAGACCAGGGATTATGAAATTAAAATGCAGCTCAGTCAGTCGGAGTTAGACACGGCGCAAGTAGGAATCTATTTGATCGGACTGGGATGTGCATATCGTAACTCTGTCCGAGCAGATTCTTCGCCTAACGACCCAAGCATTGCGCTACGATACAGGCTTTCTAGGTTCCATTGTAGTGAGGGCTTGGTTTTCTAGTTGCATCTGGTTTCCAGATTAAAAAATAAATTCTGTGTCCAAGGGACTTACAGGGAATAAGGGTCAAATGTGTCAGAGATTCAATGAATCGTCTGGAGATAAGCAGAATGTCGTTGTTGTGGTAATACTCATTTTGTCTGCCCTAAAAATACTTTTTAGTTAGACAGTTCTGATGTTTCACGTTATTCCTTCCTTCCTACTCAATCTTTTCAGGGTGGTCACAAGAGTTACATATCAAGCCCGAACAGGTTTGCCAAATTTACGTTTACCCTAAGTTAGAGAAATTGATCTTGACCACACCGCATGCGGCATGGGAGCTCCCAAAAATCACCTCCTCGCCCTCAAGACTTGGCAATATATGGCTTAAAATAACTGAGATAGTTTCCTGATTAGTTATTTATCAACTCGTTCATAACTGATGACTAGAATTTCCCATAATTGGATTTAAGTTGATGGAAAGTCTGGCCAATTAACTGCAAGTAAATTAGCCTCAGCTATAAATTCCACAGAAACCAATACAACAAGAACTGAGCGAGGTTCCCAGATTAGAGGAGGTTGAAAAGGCGCTCAGACAACTAAATAAATCAGCTGGTACTCACAGCATTCCTGCTGAATTCCTTAAACAAGGCCTCCATTTAAAGGTAGAACTGCTTCGGTTTTTATGATGCCTTTCTTGCTTTTCTTAAGAAAGGCATAAAAACAGAAGCAGTTCCACCACGACTCTACGGCCTACCCAAAATTCACAAACCGGAAGTCCCGCTAAGACCTATAGTGAGTGCACCTGGAGCACCAACGTACAACCTAGCGAAACATCTTGCATCGCTTCTTCAACCGCATGTAGAACAAACTAGCTCTTACTTCAAGGACTCCACTCACTTTGTCCGGAAAATTAGAGATATTATTCTTCAACCTAATGATATCCTGGTCAGCTTTGATGTCGTGTCCTTATTCACAAAAGTGCCATTGACGGAATCTCTTGACTTGATATCAAGTACCTTCCCCAATGACATATTTGAGCTTTTCCGGACATGTCTCACTGGTAGTTACTTCCTGTGGAACGGCGATTTTTACGAGCAAACGGACGGTGTAGCTATGGAAAGTCCGCTCAGCCCGGTCATAGCCAACTTCTTTATGGAGGAATTCGAGAGGAAAGCTATATAATCTTTTGACCACAAACCAACGGTATGGCTTCGATACGTAGATGATACTTTTTCATGGGGAAGAGAAGCTTAACCAATTCCTAGGCCACCTGAACGAGCAACATCCTAGCATAGAATTCACCATGGAAAGGATAAAAACCAGGAAATAACCTTCTTAGATGTGCTCATAAAGAAATCTGGAGGAAAACTAAGCCACACGGTGTACCGAAACCTACACACACACAGACAGGTACCTGCATGCACTCCCAAACCACCATCCAAGGCAAAAACGTGGAATTATAACAGAACGTGCTCGGAACATCTGCGAGCCACAATATCTCGAGCAAGAAGTGGATCATCTCAAGTCCTCCTTACTATCAAATCAAATGGTTACAATGCATCTAAAATCGACAGGGCCATGCGACCCAAAACTGCCACACGACAAAACGTGGATGAACAACCAGTGGTGGCTAATGCATATCTGACTTTCATTTCTCGGGTGACAGACAGGATAGGGAAAGTCTTGAAGGCAAATACAGCAATCAATCAGATCAGCCAAGGATAAGAGGAACCCACTGTCAAGCGCTGGAATCTATCGTATACCATGCATATGTGGTAAGGTATACATAGGAACGACAAAAAGATGCATGGGAATCAGGATAAACGAGCACAAAAGAAACTGCCGACTAGGACAATCGGAAAAATCGGCAGTTGCGGAACATGCGCTTAGTGAAGGGAATCATGAAATACTATTTGGTGAGGTCAAGCTTCTTGCATCGACTTCCGGATACCACAATCGTCTTGTATGTGAACCTATAGAAATCCACAAAAATACGGAGAAATTCAACAAAAAAGAAGAAACACTAAAACTTAACCAAATCTGGAACCCGATCTTCAAAAACGCAAGAAAGATCCCATTGAGTACAGAGAAAGTTGAGATTAGCCACATGCCGCGAAGCCCCGCCCCTTTCCCACTACAGCCACTCACACATAAATACAACTTACGGTCGGGAACGCATCAGTCTGTTACCAGAATCGGACATGGAAGCACCTCTGAAGATGCTAGCCACGCGTGCTAGCGAAACGTCAGGAAGAAATTCCAACTTACGAAGGCTATTAAGCCGGAATGAAAACCCCTTATCAATACAACTATAATTATTGAACTTCAATATGCGGATGATAATGTCGTGATGGCCAATACAGAGGAAGATTCTCAGGCAATTATCAATGCATTCATCCAGCTATAGAGGAGAATCGGCCTAGAAGTCAACTTTAACAAGACACAGATTCTGCACCAACTTGCACCGGACACTAATCCCCTAGCCCAAAATATAACTATAAATGACCATTCTTTGCAGAATCTACCCATACCTTGGGAGCCATCTCCATCTAACAGCAAATGCAACCATTGACACTGAAATCCAACATCACTTGGCGTCAAGCGATGTTGGGCGCCCGAACGCGTGTTCTAGAGAGAGTATGCAACAACTTCGCGTCTACAATGCAGTTGTAGTGCCAACACTTACATATGGCTGCGAAATGTGGACGACCTACAGAAAACACATTAACAAACTAGAATGCCTAAGAAGGATCCTACGGATTGAATGGCGAGACCAACGAACGAACATTAGTGTTTTAGAGGAGGCCAGAACAACTAGCATGGAGACCCCCGGATGCCCGAAGCACATATTCTATGACAGATTCACTGCAATCAACTGAAAAATGTAAAACGAAATCAAGGAGGTCAACAAAAACGCTACAAAGATGTTATCAAGGGAAATATGGCAAGGAGCCACATCGATACCAGCAACTGGGAAACGACGGCCCTCTTGGCGTCGCGTAATCTACGACGGACCACAAGCTTTTGAAGAACAGCGACGTAGACACGAGACCGAAAAGAGGTACCGCAGAAGGAGCGAGAGAACAGAGGAAAAGACAATGCTACCAGAGGCTGGGTGTGCCAAGACAACGGAAAACTGTGCGGCTCCAGACGTCAATAAGAATATATCATACTCGATATACTATGATAATGATAAATTTAAAAAACGCAACAGAATTTCAATTTAAAAAAGAAATGAAATCAAAAAAGTTTTGGTACACTGAAAAGCAATTATAGAACGTTAAATCCACGTCACCAAGATGTGTCCAATCCTGTCCAAACTGATCTTTTAAATAGTTTTCCACAATATTGAGCTTCGTTTTTTCTTTTAACTTGGACCTTCCTTGAAAGAGGATTCGGGATGATAGTTTTCTTTCTTTGAATATCGACTTTCATTATTGTCCTTAATCACTCGGGAGATTTATCTCGGGATTTGCCACTACAGTTTTTGCCGCTGATGGATTTTTTCAACTGAGAGCTGTTAAAAAAAACTGGAAATGCCATCGAGCAGGAGGTTCGCAATTAAAAATGTCGAAGTATGCGCTATGTGAATTATCCCGTCGAAGGCAAACTTTTCTCTTTTATTATTTTTCAGTTTTTGGAATTAAATATGTGTATGTTCATAACTTTTTATACGAACTTTAAGCACGGGTGCAACTCATTTATCTATCTGTCTGCCTCCAACTCATATGATATAAGTTTGATGAGCGCGTTCACATGCCAATCGATTGCAGGGGTGCTCCGCCTGTCTTACAGAACCGGCGTCGCTAGTAAATAGTCGTTTTTAGTCTTGAACCTCCAACTTTTTGAAGCAAAGTCATGCCAGGATAAAATATCAATCGTAACAATTTGGCATCCAAATTGGAGTGGATACACCGATGGTGGATTGCTCTTCTAGATGTTGGCGACAAAAAATTTTGTTCACTGCAGCACCTGATCATGCTCTCACCAATGACATCGCTCTCACTCATCTGCTTTTCGTGCTGATACTGTCAAGTCATTTACTTGACAGTGACTATTTATAAATTCCATATTACTGTTTCTACAATGACTGATAGCCCTTTACAATTTGGTAGCATCCTAGAACAAGTAAATATTAGAAACGAATCTACAAAACTAGAAAAAGAACCGTCTCTACATTATTTGTCCGAAAAATCAATTTTACTTTACAAAGTTCCAGATGAAATTGTACATGCCCCTACACCATCTTCAACTCCAAAGCAGCTCATTACCGATTGCTATACTACCATTTTACCAAATTTTCCTGAAAGCATCCAAAATATTAAAATCCCTTACGTTAGAGAAGTGGGTATCCGAGATGCCATAGCCTCGTTGGCGCCGTTTTTCAAATGTGACGATTACAAAAATAATTTAGTACAATTTTGGTTTCTGGATATCATAGTGGATTGCTTATGGATATCCCAAGACGAATACAGATTCTCGATTTCACATCAGAAATGCATTTTAGAATGGCTACTTTTTGTGTTCAAGCTTATTAGCAGCGTTTGCATGACTAAAACATTACTGTTTGAAATATTTTACGAAGCAATGGCTATAGCGGAAGTTTATGTCCAGGCTGGAGGTGAAAAAGAACCTTTACCGAATATGTTATTCACTCTTAACCTAAATGGTACAGACAGTCATGAGGAATTAAGTCTGGGTTCGTCCTCAACTATGGAAAATAAATCTTCAACAGAGTTGAAACCCTCAAATGAGTATTTTGTGATCAAATCTGGAGAATCATGTCAGGTAAACTACGTCTACGGTTCCGCAAGTTGGGAGATGTACCTATACATATAGTATTTCGGCACGATTTAAGTCCATCTTCATTCGAGGAAATATTATACAATATTTTTCTAGTGCCTTATAATTTTATTGCGAATACCCCAATCTCAGGATAATATGCCATCTTTAATCATAATTAGGTACACAACGTCTCCCAATCCGTTTTTATGTAAGGTGATATTTCTAGTCTGCAGAATTTATTCAATAAGGCCGTAATCGTACGCAACTTTTCAAGTTATAAATATTTTAGGTTTTCAAATTACCAATCAAAGAAGCACCAGCAGTTGATTGCTGCGACTTCTCTATAAGTTCGATTTCAGATGAACCACTTTCAGTAGAAGAACAACTCGAAGTTCTTACTAATAAAATTTCAGAGGAATCCGACATAGATTTCTATAAAGTTGATTATTCAACTCCACCAAGATTTAAATCTCTGCAAGAGCTCGACAAATCTATTTCTATCGAGAGCGATTTGAATTATCCTAATGATGATTCTAGTGAAAGTATTATTGGTGATTGGTAAATTTCCATGAATCCATCCAAGGACAACATTTGAATGATTTAACTTTTCATTTTAGGTATGATATTCCCAGAAAGGAACCTGTACCATTGTGTCCTAGTAAAACAATCACTGAAATCTTATCCCCAGATGACCAAGAACACGACGAAGAAATATCACGCGAGCAAAGTTTTCGCAAATCAACCAAACAAAAAGGTGAAAAAAATGAAACTAACGATAATCATGCAAAACCTAGCGTAGATGGAAATATTATCGAAGATTCTGGATCTCCTCAAGATATTTTTAAAGCTTTTTATGATTATAATTTATGGAAACTTAAAAATGAATTCATGGATAATTCAAAAATAGGCTGGACCTCGTTAAGTAGCGAAGAAACTGTACAGAGTTCCCATAAAAGTGATAAAAATATACCCGATATTAACTTAAAGCAAAGGACTGCTGAAAATGAAAAAGAAATTTTCATAAAGTCTTGCCTGTTATTGGCAATAAAACAAATAGTTCAGGATTATTTTGAAAATAATTTCACTTTTGAACTAATAAGAATTTCTTTAACAAACCCTCAATTTCTCATTACACAAGATTTGAATGTTTATTGGAATATTCCGAAAGTTATTAAGGGAGAACTCAAAAAGCCTATGCCTAAAAAAATGAAAAAAGAAAAGCCAAAGAAAGAGCCCAAGACCAAAAAAGAGAAATCGACTAAAGGCGCAACGAAAAGTGCCAAAGACAAGAAAAGTAAAAAATCTGATAAAAAACTCAAGGCAGACAAAAAAAGTAAAGTTTCTTCTAAAAGCGGCAAAAGTAAAAAGCAGACACTATCAAAAGAAGAACAAAAAGAACACGAAAGACAAAGAAAAGAACAAGAAGCACTTGAAATGGAATTATTTAAGCAAGCAGAAAATACAATGTTTATGTTTCCTTTAAAAGAAGCTGTTGACGAAATCTTTTTCACACGAATATTTCCAAATTTTAAGAAGAAAGGCGCAGCAAAAACTGCTAAAAATAATGAAGAATCTTCGAAAAAGTCTGAAGATAAAAAATCTGGAAAAAAAGATAAGAAAAAGAAAAAGAAGCAATAACGTTCATTTATTATTAAATAAATTTTCAATTTTCAAAAGAAAAGTGTTATGATAAAGTAACCTTAATTAAAGTAAGCGGCAGTTAGTTTAGTAATTTATCTTTTACGGCCTAATTGAATAGAGCTTAAAATTCTAATCGGTGCTCACTGGGGCTCTCTAATCGTTCCTATAGAGTCAATTATAAATGAAAGAGGAGATTTTAATTAAGTTAATTTCTATTTTTGTATTATCAATAATTTTAATAATAGAACTGTCTTCTTGGGGTCTATTATACAATGGGTACCTATACAACTCACTCATTATTTTGACACTCTCGGACACGTCGATTTTATATGTTTATTAGGTATAGGTGTGTTTTTTTATTTTATTTACGACTAATGTATAATGTGCGTATTATATTTGTGATTTTGGCAGTATAATGACATATGTTATTCCTCCAGGGATTAATGACGAGTAGCGGGATTAATGGTCATTTTTCCACAAAAGTGTCAGTGTCAAACGTGTAGTGCTTGTGGATTTGTATTGAAAATTATGAGACGGATGAAATTTGTTCATTGAAAATCTCAAATAAATTCGTCGTAAATAAAGTAGAGTATACTACTCGCAATAATGGCTATTATTCCCTCGGAATGTTACTCCCTCGCCGCTAACGCGGCTCAGTTCGTAATAATCCTCGGGAATAATAGCTATCATTATTGACTCGTGGTATAATCTACTATTAATTTTCTGATATGGAGAAGGGGCTAAAAATAGCTGTGCTAGAATCAACTTGATTTCAATTTCGGCAAAAATACCACAATTTGTATATTTCTGTATTGTTTTCCAAATGCTAGAGATTTTATGTTACATGTTCTTAGATAAAGCTGCAACAATCTCGACGATTTGGAATATTGGTGAAGTCGCTCACAACATTACCGCCGTAGAGAGTAATGACTATAGCACAAAACGTGGAAGACAAGAACATACTACCAAAAACAATTCATTATTCATTGTCACAACGAGTACCTACCCATAATTAGGCATATTTGCTAGAACCCCAAGAAATAAGCCATGCTCAATACGTGAGTTCTTGTTCTGCCTTCCTTATAGATAGCAGTGTTTATTTTGGATTTTTCGCTGGTATGATGAGACCATGAATGAAATACGTTTGTTTACCTACTGTGAATGGTAAGACTCGACGCCCTCTACGACTCTCCCTCGCGTCTTATTACATTTTGATTATGTTTGTCACGCGAAGTAGACTAAGGCACAAAGGATGGTCAGTTGATATCAGATTGCCCATAATGTCCATTGACTCCTGAGCGATTGGATCTTGGAGGAACAATAGTTATTACAGGAGCAAATTCGAATGTGCGCAGTTTTATGCGTTTGTGATGCTCAAGTGAGCCTGTCAAGATACATATTTTTCAGCGTCCTTGACTAAGGATAGCAGACGGCAAGAAGAAAAATGGGAAGAAGCCCCTCTAGGAACCCATAGAGGTGGCAGATAGAAAGAGGATGTTGACTATGTGAGCGCTCATCGACACGCCAGCTGAGCACATAGATAAGATGATGGAATGCCACGCCTCCGACGGTACAGAAACGCCCAAAAAAACAAATAAGAGCTATAGTCGCCGCCACAGATATTCGCGAGTCCTAAAACCAGACTAACGACAGCCAAATCAGAAATGGAATGATTGGAAATATTGTCAATGGTACATAAATTGAAACTAATACAAATAAATATCAATGGCATCCTGTGAAAAACCCAGGAGACCAAAGAACTTATCCTGAGAACCAAACCAAACATTGTAACCATAAACGGAACCAAAGTAGCCATGAACAAGATGCCGCCTAAAATGCCCGGATACCAATGTAGGTATATATAGAAACAGACCAGACCAACTCCCACGCCATCCAGTCGGCAGAGTAGCTATCTATGTTGCCAAAAATCTTTATTTCGAGGAAGCAATGACCAACACCGCAGATATAGAATCAGTAGCCACATTCACCTGAGGCATTTAGGTTATTGTCGCCTACAAAAAACCAAGCGCTCCCCTCTACTCACGGAAAATTCGGGAACTTATGGACCACCCAAAATGCATCCTAGTTGGGAATCTAAACTCGAAACCCATTAACTGGAACAATCCGGTTGACAATACAGCAGGAGGAGACCTTCCGAGACTCCTGGATACATCCACATTCCAGATTGTTGCTCCAGATTCCTACACCAGGATTGCCCCATGCCACGGACAAGAGGCCATTCTGGATATTGCCATAATAAAAGACATATTCGCCACCTACCAGTAATGTTCGAAACCAACCAAGACGCCAGACTCAAACCCCCAAAATTACATTACATCTACGCCAACGCTGACTGGACAAACTACAAACGGACGATTAACAGAAATATGATAATATCCAGAAACCTTACCAGCACAGACGAAATTGACGAGGCCCTTACAAAGCTGACATACATTATAAGCCAAGCAAAAAACGACTATACCCCCAAACAGGACCCAAAATGCAGCCCTTTTCCAGATACCAACCTGGACGAGATTAAAATTAGAAACGCCCCAAGGCAAAGAATCCCGAGAACCAGAAGGGTAGAGGATAAAATTGAATACCAACTTCAATGCAACCAGGTTAGGGCACTCCTGGACTCCTATGAGAATGATGCCTGGACTGATAGATTACTGGCCGCAAACGAAACAAACAATATTTGGAAACATATCAAGAGTTTCAAAGGTGAAGGCAACCCCAACATTATTCCACCACTGGAAATAACTCACAATAACACCACTAGAACCATAACCAGCATCAAGAAGAAGACAAATGCTCTCGCAGACCAATACATCGCTACAAATGAACTAACCACCAACCTATCTGGTACCTCGTGAACGAATTATACGAGAACCTAACATCAGGACAAGATGAGGATCTGGAACCAGAAGCACTCACTAGCCCAGGAGATATTGCTAGAATCATCGCAGGATCCAAGCCCTTCAAAGCACCAGGAGAAAACGGAATTGTGATGAAGGATCTAAAACACCTCCCCAGGAAAGCCATTGTAGAACTCACGTACATATACAACGCCTGCCTGAAAATAAACTACTTCCCTACCGAATGGACGGATGCCAATATTATTGTCTTCCAGAAACCCAACAAAAACCCAAGAAAGCCGAGAAACTACCGCCTTATCTCCCTCCTGGACACCATGGGAAAAGTCCTGGAAAAAATAATTAACAAAAAGCTAACTGGGCATCTGGAAGACATCAATAAAATCATGCCCGAACAATTTGGATTCAGGCCAGGCCGAGGGCCAGGCCGATCAACTGCACCTCAAGTCGCAAGAGTTGTAGACGATGCAATGGACTCCAACAACAGGAAACTAACTACTATACAATGGCTCTCCTGGACCTTCAAAAGGTATATGACACAGTGTGGAGGAAAGCTATGATAGCAAAACTATACAGGGCAGAAGTCAACCAAGGAACCATCAAAATCCTCGCAAACTACTTAACCAACGGAACCTTCAGAGTAATCATTAACGGTGCAACATCCGATAATAAGAGATCCACCATGGAGTTCCCCAGGGCAGCGTCCAACATTATTTGATGTCTACATCAACGACGTCCCCAAGAGCGTAAATACCCAGATAGCCCCCTACGCAGACGAAATCGCCATTTTCACAAATTCAAGAAGACCAGAAATATCGACCAACAAGGTCCAAAATCATATAGAAAGCATAATAGCATACAAGCAGAAGAACTCGATCGATAACTCACTTCCAAATCGCACATCACTAATGTGCGACAAAAAGCTAGCGTTGCTGCCAATAGCATGTATCCGTTTATCTCCAGAAATTCTAGGTTGAATGGCACCACATAGCAGAGGATTTACAAGGCGTACATCAGACCAATCATAATGTACACCTACCTAATTTGGAGCTCCGCCGCCAACTACAACCAAACCAAACTGGCTGGACTCGAATCTAAGATGCTGAAGACGACTCTGGGAATAGCCTGGGACCAATATTGGACCAACTAGCGAGTCTACGCCAACAGCAAGCTCCAACCACTCTCCGAGGCACAGCTGGAGAGAACAAGAAAATGTTTCACTGTCACAACAAAGATAGTGGAAATAACCAATCACATTGGTCGTACACACGTGAGACGATGCCATACCAACCTAAACACAAGGTTAGGTATCCACCAGGCCCTACTCTAAGATCAACGGACATCGAGCTCTCACACACCCCTCTACTCTACTATGACGACGGCTGTTTAGCCAAAAAGGCAGCTTATATAATTGTCTCCATTTCATGTATATAAATAAACCCATAAGTGTGAATAAAGGCCCCGTAAGCTATTCAGGAAACAGAGAAAATAATTGTATCATAGTAATTTTATGGTTATCGCATATTAATCAATCCGTAAAAGGCAAATTATTAATAAATAAATAAAAAAATAAAAATCGAGATTGCTACAAAAAATGATTTCATTGTCGGCGATGCACGGATAAACAAAAACCGTAGCAAAAACTCTACAGATAAGGGTTGAGAATTAATTTAGTCCAAGAGCATCAACTAAATTCATTTTGCGTATAGTATTATTGTATTGTTCTGGATTCGATTAAGTACTTAATTTCTTGTATTAAATATTTGAAAGATCTTTCACAACAATTTAAACTGCCGAATAATTTCAAACCAATATAATCTTGTACTCAAGCGGTTCCTGACACGCGCTCCCTGACTAAATGTAGACCGGCTGATAATATAAACATATACTTTTTGTACAAGTCTCGAATATCTCTGGTGGATACTATACCTACAGGAGGATCTAGCTCAACAGGGCGTTGATCAAGCAAGATCCTGAATGCCAAGAAGAAGTCCAACTTCACGTACCAGCTTCAGGAGGAGAAGAAGCTGTATGCATTGATAGGTGGATTACCAATTATTGACATGACGATTGCAGAATTTGATTCAAAAAAGCATTAATCCCCAGATTACTGACAAGAGAAGAAATGAGCCAATATCCTTTTCAAGACCAACTCTACCTACGTGAGGATTTGGAGTATCAAGAGATTGTTGAAGTTTAAGGTTTGAGCTGCGAGGAAGATCATATGCGGAGAGTCTCAACAGCTACAGATGGCAGGCATTCACTAAATCAGATCAAATCAAAAACAGCTTTATTGAATAAAGACCAATACAATCTTATTATCAAAGCACACTAATCCAATATAAATTCTTAATACTACATAAATGAATATAGAACAAATATGGTATGATATTAAACCAACACTAGTTAAAAGAAATATAGAGAGTCGCTGAAAACAGCTAATAATGAATGAGGTTGCGAAGTTTAAGACAATGGGTGGTATG